GGACTGAGGGGTTTTCTGGGACACAGGACTTTTGGAGCCAAAACCTAGATTAGTTGGTCACCCTATCTCCTTAGCTCATACTGTACATTTTTTTTTTTTTTTTTTTTTTGAGATGGAGTCTCGCTCAGTCGCCCAGGCTGGAGTGTAGTGGCACAATCTCCGCTCACTGCAAGCTCTGCCTCCCGGGTTCACGCCATTCTCCTGCCTCAGCCTCCCGAGTAGCTGGGACTACAGGCGCCCACCACCACACCTAGCTAATTTTTTGCATTTTTAGTAGAGACAGGGTTTCACCATGTTAGCCAGGATGGTCTTGATCTCCTGACCTCGTGATCCGTCCACCTTGGCTTCCCAAAGTGCTGGGATTACAGGCGTAAGCCACCGCGCCCGGCCCATACTGTACTTTTTAAAGGACTGCATAACCTAAACCCCAAATCTCTCAACTACACAGTAATTCGAAATGCATAAACCTATACAAGCAGCCCACAGTTTGAAAGAAAGAGAGAGAGAAGAAAAAGAAAGGAAGGAAGGAGGAAAGGGAAGAAGGAAGGATGGGAGGGAGGGAGGGAGGGAGGGTGGGAATCATACCTAAAGATAACTCTTTGATGGAAGTCCTAATGATGTAAACTTGAGGAAGACCCTAAACCTGCCAATAATACTTCTTGGAAAGAGACAGAATCCTTTCAACTAGCCTACTTCTACTATAAACTTCATTAAATGGATTCATATTTTATTGAAGCAGGGATTTGGTAGGATTTTCTTAGTAGGGACTTTTCCCCAACCCAATATTTCATCCAAGAGTCGAAAAGCTGATCAGAGTTGGCATTACTCCCCAGAGAGTTTGCAGGGAGAGAAGCTTCACTCGTCAACAAAGGATAGATTCCCCTACAATCAACTGTGCAGCTCCACTTCAAGGCCTCTATGCATGCACTTGGCTAAAACTGCTGCAAAGGTCTACTTTTAAACCTTCTAAACTCCTTCTCAAAGAGCCGGGCCCCCAGAGCAAGCCAACCACAAAGAGGGTTTCTAATTAAATTTGATCTTGACCACCTCAAAGCACAAAAAATTTCTTAAACAGGTATAACATTTAAAAAAACCCCTGGGTATAAAGCTAATTATGAATTCAGTGCTTTCCCTTTAACAAGGAGAAAGTCTCTGCCCTTAAATGTGGGACAGGGAATGAGAAGTTCTGGGTTTGCTCCAAAGCTGACTGCTGTCCCTAGATACTCCCTACAGATTGCTGATGCCAGTTGTGTTTCCTGGTGTTGACATCTGAAATCAGTCTTTGTTATGATGATATATCCCACAGGGGCTTCTTCAGCAATAAATCAAGAGTGAAATAACATGAAATAAACCATGTAATTACACTTTTAAGTGACACCAGCACAGGACTGCAAGAGAGCAAGGCATGAGGTAATGCTTCACTTGGGTGAAATCAGGTAGGCTTTCCACTTAAACAGGACACCAGAAGGAATGCATAATTAAAGCCCAATCGCGTCAGATAACTGGGCCCTTCGATGTTACCATTATGAGGGAATTAGTCTCTGGTACTGAAGGAAAGAGGTCTGAGGTATTCTCAAAAAGTACTCATGTATTTTTCATACTACTACTTCATGACTGAAGGGTGGCAAGAATGAGGAACTGGGTAGTCCCTGAGGTAAAGGAACTGAACATGCTGCCAGTGACTCATGTGCTGCTAGATCCATTTGAAAGAGTCGAAGTCAGCATCGCATCATCTGGTTTTCACAGAGACCACAGGGCAACGGACAGGGAGCCCCCTGGGTTTTGTGGACTTTCCAAAATACTGACTACGGACTGAAAGAAGAAAGCTGAAGTATGACAAGAGAAAATAGTGATACTATTTGCAAGTTATATGGCACATGAAGACACTGGCACTCTAACATGGGGGAGACCATACTTCATAGGATGCCATGATGACAGACCACTGTTTGCAATCGATTCAGAAATTCATTTGCTCTACGGAGATCTTAGTTCTTTTTATTCAGTCTTCCTTTTACTTCTTTTACTCCTTTGAAAGTTAAGTTTAAAGAGAGCAACTGTGTCTGTTAGGTTTTTTTCAAAGAGTCTGAACATTGCAGGCTCTTATTAAGAGTTAAGCTTTCCAGCTGGGCGTGATGGCTCATGCGTGTAATCCCAGCACTTTGGGAGGCCGAGATGGGTGGATCACCTGAGGTCGGGAGTTTGAGACCAGCCTGGCCCACATGATGAAACCCTGTTTCTACTAAAAACACAAAATGTTAGCCAGGTATGGTGGTGTGCACCTGTAATCCCAGCTACTCGGGAGGCTGAGGCAGGAGAATCACTTGAACCCAGGATGTGGAGGTTGCAGTGGGCCAAGATCGAGACACTGCCCCTCCAGCCTGGGTGACAGAGCAAGACTCTGTCTCAAAAAAAAAAAAAAAAAAAAAAAAAAGAGTTAAGCTTTCAATTAAAGCCAAGGAGACCAAGGTGATAAAACTGAGTAATCAGCTACCCAGGGACACTATAAGAGCATGGACTTTAGGGACATACTAGCTGGGCTTGAAGATAGTTCCCCATTTAATGGTTGTGTGACTTTGGGCACTGCTCAGTTTCCCCATCTGTAAAAGGGAGATAATAATAGTATCTCAAAGGGTTGCTGTGAGGACTAAATACATTAATGCATGTAAAGCCTTTACAACAATACCTAGCAAATAACAGTAGTTTAAAAGCATTAACTTGTCTTATTTATTAATTTATTACTGTAAGGTACTCTTCCACCTAGAGATTTTTAAACAATATGACCATCCTGAGATTATTATTATCTTATCTAAAAGCAGGTGGCTGGAATAAATGACTGATTTAGGTCACTTCTATTTCTAGGGTAAATCTTTTTTTGCATGCCATATTTTATTGGGCTTTGTTAATTTTCCAGTATTAATTATGTTATTATAGTAACAGCTATCATTCTTGGAGATATCCAGGACTTCTTGGCATTCTTGATGAAATTTAAGACTTTCTTCCAGGAGCTGTATGACTCAATACCTACTGATGACCACACACTGGATCTGCTTTTTGAATAAGCCGTAGAAACCATGGGTCTCAGATAATACCAATCTCAGTCAAATTACCTCTTTTTATTTAAAACAATTTTGTCACATTGGGGTAAAGTATGTGCTGGTTCTTCAAAGGTGGTTACAGGACACAGTCTAGAATTTTCTAGGAATCAGGATTTGAAATGTCCACTTTGCTCTTTGGGTAAATTCGGCCAAATCACTTTGGCAGAATGCAGAGTTAACATGAATTTAAGAGGTGACACATGAAGCAGTTCTTTTCTGCTTAGCTTTTCTTGTGAAGTGATTGATGATGATGATGACGATGATGATGGTAATGAAGAAGAGGAGGGGAAAAATATAAAATTTTCAAATGGAAATCTATCCTGACTTCACGTGTGAACCTCGCTTTGTCCTCTACTGCACTAAGCAGCAGAACAATGTGGTAGTCTAGGAAGTCTGAAGCTAGGCTGCTGGGTTCAAGACCGACTGTTACCACTTAGCTGTGTCAATGGGGAAAGATGGTTAACATCTCTGGATTTCAGTTTCTCTGTCTTTAAAGTTAAAAGCAATACTTGTTTTCATAGGTTTTTTTTTTTTTTTTTAGGATTAAATGAGTTAATGCAGTGCTTGGCACTTAATGGGATTAGCAATCCCAAATACAAATCCTCTCTCCCACCTAGGTAATACCTCACTAATAACCAAAATCTGTCTATTTATTCCGTGAGTATTTAAAGCCCCTCCTATGTTCCACACACTGCAGTAAATTAGGGGATGAAGCGATGCATGGTGAATGCAGAACAGACACAATCTCTGTTTTTGTGGAGAATTAAAGAGTGGGACTGACACTAATCGAATAATCTCACAAATAAATGTAAAAGTGTAACTGAGAAGAGCTTACACAGGAGATACATAAAAAGCACTTGACCGGGTCAGGAGGTCAGGGAAAGCTTCCTGAGGGAGTACTGAGGGTGGAGACTGAAAGAAGGCTAGGAGTATAACCAGGCAAGGGGGTGCGTGAGACCAAGAGGTTTAGAGAGTCCTCCTGGCAGGAAAAACAGCACATGCAAAGGCTCTGTGCTACAGTCCTACTCAGGACCTCCTTGAACCTACCCATTACCACGTCTCAGGATTTTCTTCAAGCGGACAACTCCCACGTGGTCCCTCTGCTTCCCTATCGAGGAGCACCCATTTTTCAAGAGGAAGACCTAAACCTGAATCTTCCATGACACCCTCCTCCCTACTTTAGCCCACAAGGTTCCACTACTGCCTCCTTTTTTTGAAATTTGATTGGAAGGAACAAGGCAGGAAAACCATATGCAACCTAGTGCAATATGAAGACAGGGTTCAGTAATTAAATGATTACTGTCATACTTCTCCTGCTCGTTAAATTCCCAGAGCTGATACAGCTATACTTCCTAACTTACTGTGTTTTATGGAACATGCTAACTCAGATAATCCCCACAACAGCCCTGTGGGGTCAGAGGTAATACCCCATTCCACAGCTAGAGGAACTGGGGCTCAGAAGATAAAGTAGGTTGCCATGGTTCCTATAAATGGAGCAATCAGGCAATCCTTGAGCTTAGGTCTGTCCTCCTCCAAACTATTCACATTTTCCATTGCTCTGTGCTACCATGTGACATGATCATTTGTTCTTGTGTGTGTGTGCAGTCTCCTCAGTGTTTCATAGCTCTACTCTGCCTAGACAGTGTTGGTAGATGACAGTTATTCGTAAACACCTTGTTTGTTTGGCTTTGCTGGTATGTGTTGTGAGAAGAGAGATCTCAGGAATGGTTATAAGAAGTGGTAGAGGTGTACTTGTCCCCTTGTAAGGCCCCTTTATAAAATCATGTCACAGACATGAAACCATGCATTCATTCTTTTCTGTGAGGTTGCAAGTCAGATTATTAGGCACAAAAAAAAAAGGAAAGAAAGAAAAAGATGAACACTATTTTAATAATATTTATTCTCTCAGGGATGAAAAACAGTCAGGCTTTATTGTTTACTACTTGTTGAGCAACCAGGACAACCAGGAAGGACAGAATGACCTTTACCAAATAAGACAGTACAGAATTATGTCCAACACAGTTTCTGGCATAAAAAGATGCTTAGTAAAGTTCATCTCTTTCTCTGTTATGCAGGAGACTTCAAGTTGATCCAGTCTGTGATCCAATCCCAGCTTTTCCCCCTCCTAGCTCTGTGGCCTTACACAAATTAGATAACCTCTCTGAGTCTTAAGCTCCACATCTACACAAAGGGCCAATCACATGACTTCAGAGGGCTGTCGTGAGGACTACGCAGTGCCTGGCACATGGTAGGTACTATTAAAGTGCCAGTTTGTTTCCTTCTCTATTATTTGTAAAGACCCTTGGGCCTCCGAAAGTCCCTGTGAGGGAGGCAGAGTTGACTCTATTACCCCTATTTTGCAGATAAGAAAACAGAAGTTCAAACAGATTGAGTAACAAAGTGACATAACCCAAAGTCAAACAGCCAAGACACAGAGGACCCTGGAATTCATTATGAGTCTTCTGAATATAAATGTGGTATTCTCAGTAAGGCAGGGGATGGCATGAAAAAAATCCTCTGCACTGTTGATGGCATGTTTTTTTTTTTTCCCTTTTCCTGGTAGTACTCATGGATGTGCATTGATTCACCGACATTCTTTCACCTGTTTCGTGCCCCTTTGAATGACCAACAGCATATATGGCTCATATCAGGCTGGGATTAGAAGAGCAAACTGCCATTTGACATAATAAATAAGCTAAGAAGTTCTCGTGAATTACACAGAGACGATGAATAAAATCTCTATGTATAACTTTTCTCTGAAAGTTTTATCTTTTCCCTCATACTTTGACTCAGGGTTTCCTTTTTTGTTTTATTTTAATTTTCAGTTTTACCACATCAGATATAGCTGCTTACAAATTATGCTTCTTTTGAGAAAGAAGTAACACACTATTGCTAATTCCAAGAATTGCTGGGAACTTGGACCTCAACAGGTGTCACTACATCATCACGAAATTACCAATAAATCTTTACATTTGCATGGCCTAATCATTCATCACTGCGAAAGAACATGGGAAGAGCAGATAGTTTGTAATTTATTAATGCATTGTCTTATAAATGTTCACATATAAGCCTTTTTTTTTTGCCAGTTGGGTGGATTTTTAAACAGAAAATAATGTATACAATACTGGTATTCTAGTGTCATTTCTTTCCTATATTTCTTTTTCTCTTTCTTTCTTTTTCTTTCTTCCTCTCTCTCTCTCTTTCTTTCTTTCTTTTTTTTTTTTTTTTGAGGGGGGACAGGGTCTTGCTCTGTCATTCAGGCTGCAGTACAGTGGTATGATCATGGCTCACTGAAGACTCAACCTCCTGGGCTCAAGCAATCTTCCTGCCTCAGCCTCCTAGGTAGCTAGGACTACAAGTGCATGCCACCACACCTGTTTAAATTTTGTTTTTCTTTTTCATAGAGACAGAGTCTCGCTATGTTGCCCAGGCTGGCCTTGAACTCCTGGCCTCAAGCGATCTTTCCACCTAAGCCTCCAAAATTGCTAGGATTATGGGCATGAGCCACTGTGTCTAGCCTCTTTTCTATATTTCTTACCCTCTTTACTACACTACATGTGTTCTCAAATTCTTCTTTAAAGTATAATATATATAATAATAAATCAAATCTTCAAAAAATATCCTCTATCTGATCACCTCTCACTACCTTCACTGCTACTCCCTTGGTTTCCAGCCACCATCATCTGTCTCCTAAGCTTTGCTCCTATGTTTCCTCTGCGTGTCCTGTCTCCCCATGGCTTATTTTCCTGAGTGATCCTGTCTGTTCAAGTCATGTCATGCCATGTCTTATCACTCCTTCACTCAAAACCCTCCCAAAGTGAAAGCTGTTAAAGCTGAGAGATTAGTGCAAGGGGGTTCATTATACTATTCTGTGTTTGTATATGATTAAATTTTTCTATATTAAGAAGTTAAAACAAAATCCTTTAATATTTCTCCATATTAAAAGACAAAATCATTACAATGGCTTACAAGGCCCTAGGCGATTTGACCATCTCATGTCCTCTCTGTCCTTTTTCTTCTTACTTCTATGCAGCCACATCAGTTTCTCACTGTTCTTGAACTTGCCAGGTGAGCAATCTTAGCTTTTGCATTTCCTATGTCTTCTGCCTAGAACACTCTTTCCAGGGACATCTGTATACCTGTATATTCCTTACCGGCTTTCAGGCTTTACATAATTGCCATCTCTCAAGGTGGCCTTCACTGACCACTCTACCCCTACCAAAACTTTTACCCCCAAATCCCTTGCTGCTTTCTCTGCTTAATTTTTCTCTCTATATTAATTACCATCTAATAACTACACATTTCATGTATTTTGATTACTGCCTCTCTTCTCCATTAGGACGGAGGCTCAGAGTGGGGAAGCTGGGTGTGGTAGTGTGCACCTGTAGTTCCAGCTACTTGGGAGACTGAGGTAGGAGTGTCCTTTGAGCCCAGAAGTTCAAGGCTGCATTGGGCTATGATCACACCACTGCACTACAGCATGGGCAACAGGGTGAGAGCCTGTCTCTTAAAAAAATGAAATACAAACAGTGAGGATATTGATTTATTCTCTGTTGTATCCTCAGTGCTTGAAATAATGCTTGTCATATTGTGGGCATTCAATAATTAATACATTAATGAATGCATAACTAATTAAGACATGATAAAATGTTATTTATGAAGGCAATTACTAAAATATAAAGAGTTGGGTTAGGTGACGGGTGGTGGGTGAGGAGTGGAGATAACTGTATTTGTTGTTGTTGTTGTTGTTATTTTGTCTTTTAAAAAATGGCTAATGGAATACTATGCAGAAATAAAAAAGAACAAGATCATGTCCTTTGCAGGGACATGGATGGAGATGGAGGTCATTATCCTTAGCAAACTAACATGAGAGCAGAAAACCCATTATTACAGATACTGCATATTCTCATTTATAAGTGGGAGGTAAATGATGAGAATACATTGCTACATAGAGGGAAACAACACACTCTGGGGCCTATCAAAGGGTGGAGGGTGGGAGGACAGAGAGGATCAGGAAAAAGAACTAACAGATACTAAGCTTAATACCTGAGTGATGAAATAATCAGTACAACAACCCCCCATGACACATGTCTACCTACGTAACAAACCTGCACATCCTGCACATAAAATTAAAACTTAAAAGTAAAAAAAAAAGGCTGGATACCAATGTAGCATCTCAATAGTCTATTTAAATTAGAACATGATTATTACACACCAGAGCAGAACACTGGTCTAAGTTGGAGGCAGGGTTTCTGGCTGGGGGATCTGGTTGCTGCACTGGCCCTACAGTATCTGGTAAAAGGGATCTAACCACTAAGAGAAATGAATTCTGCCAGCTGTGAGAAAGTGAAGGGAAGGCAACTCTTCAATAATCATCCTTGGAAAATTAGGGCAGCAGTTCTTCCCTCAAATTCCAAAACACCCCCTTGTACTTCTCTCTTCCCACCCTAACTGCTGTTGCCCATTAGGCATTCTCTCTTGTACTGATGAGTCTTGGCACCAGATTCAAATATTTCCTCTATGCCTCATTTTGTTATTTCCCTCAGAGATCCAGGATTTGCATTTCTGGTCCATTTCAATTTCACTGTCTGTTATTCCTCAAATGAGAGGGCCCTTCTTTGATATTCACTGTGGTGATGGATAGGAACAACCACCCCACAGGACTTTATCAGGGGTAGTCCTGATAGTATTGCAGGGGTACACCTCCAAGATCTCAAACTAGTGGAGTATCTTTCAATAAAGAGCAACAGACTTTGGAGTAAGACACAGCTGGCTCTGAATCTGGGCTCCCATGACCATCTGGCGGACTCTGGGAGGGTTACTTAACTTTTTTACTTGTTTTCTCATTTGTAAAATGTGAATACAAATACATAATCTCTAAATTTTCATGAGGATTAAAGGAGGTAAAGTGTCTAGCACAGTTTTTACTATATCAAAAGCTCAAAATAAATGACAGCAATTCTTATTTCTCTCTTCCTACCTTAAGCAGATATCTGCAGCTGAGATTCTCTCTGACTGTAATGAGAAGGTAGAAGTCATTGCGTGCATGTTCCTTCACTCTCTCTCCTCCTTACTGTTACTGAGTCTCAAAACATCCCTGCTACTTCACATATCCTCTCCTAATTCAGAGAAACATGTTTGTTCCCTTTTCCAGGGCTAACCATTCTGTTTTTACCCTTAATGTTTATTCCTAATCTTCTTGAATTACCCTTCTCTTTCTCTCTCCAAAGGATTCTTTGCTTGTCTACAGATGTGCACTGCTTTTCTTCCTTATTCTAAAAAAAAGCCCCTTCTGGATAATGATGACAACCATAAAGGTTAACATTTATTGAAACCTATGGGCCGGGCGTGACACCAAGAAATATTGAACGATTCTTTCATTTGATCTTCTCTACAATCCAATGAGAAAGGTTCTTAAGCGGAACTTATACCTGTTTGAATGTCATTCTATTTCTCCCTACCAAGTACATAAGAAAATCTCTAATTACTAATGCTGAACACCACCACTTAATCTGAGGCCCTTTGCAAATGTAAGTAATCCCCTGATCTGTCAAATGAAAAAGTGCGTAAAGGTCATGACAGATTCCATGTTTCCAAACCCACTAGCCATTTCTTATTCCTCACCCCTGCTTGACCTCTTTGAGAATGGGATATGTTACCATTCCCTCCTTGAAAGTCTCCCCCAACTCCCCATTTCACTGGCTGCTTTGGTTAAGGCACTCTTTCTCCTCCTCAAAGAGATGTTTCAGAAGAGATTCATGCTCGGTCCATTTCTCACCTTTATTGTGATCACTCCCTTGACATTCTTATCAAGTCTCCTGGATTGAACTGTCTACTCCAAGCAGATGACGGCTGAATTGAAATCTCATGTTCTCATCTTCTTTTTAAGCATGTGCAACCTTTCCAGCTGTTTGTAGGGTATCTTCCTGTCCATAATACCTTTACAGCTCAATGTGCGCAAGACTTAACTAATCACCTTTCTTCTCAAAGCTACTCCACCTCCTGCAAATGGAAATACAAATGCCGCCTTCTAAAAAATTGCAGCAAAAGCCTCTTTTCATCTTGGATTCCTCTCTGTCTCTTGTCTTTTATGTTTAACCAGTTGCCAAATTTCAGCTGAGTACCACCCCAAAATCTCAGTTTATCCCTTTCTTCCATTCTCATTCCTTAGTTTATCTATCTTAGCTTGAACTCTTAGTTTAGCTCATGAAGAATCCCTGCAATTCTTCCAACTAGTGTCTCTGGGCCTTTCCCCTCCAATATGTGTTAGCAGACTGCTACCTGATTTGTAATCCTAAAGCACAATGCTGCTGATAATTTCTCATTCCTATATAAAATTTCTTTTATTTTTTTATTTATTTTTTTATATATATTTTTAATTTATTTATTATTATTATACTTTAAGTTGTAGGGTACATGTGCATAACGTGCAGGTTTGTTACATATGTATACTTGTGCCATGTTGCTGTGCTGCACCCATCAACTCGTCATTTACATCAGGTATAACTCCCAATGCAATCCCTCCCCCCTCCCCCCTCCCCATGATAGGCCCCGGTGTGTGATGTTCCCCTTCCTGAGTCCGAGTGATCTCATTGTTCAGTTCCCACCTATGAGTGAGAACATGCGGTGTTTAAACTAGTTCAACCATTATGGAAAACAGTATGGCGATTCCTCAAGGATCTAGAACTAGATGTACCATATGACCCAGCCATCCCATTACTGGGTATATACCCCAAAGGATTATAAATT